TCCAAGTATTCTCCGTTATTATACTTCACTGGACTCGACCTATTGATATTGTCAGAATATCATTGCCACTTTAATATAAGAGGACAAGATTAAATCCATTTTAGTTAATTATTTACACGGATAAGGTTGATAATTTTTTTCCATTTAGATTACATGAATATATCTTATATTTAATAGTTTATGTTATACAGTAAACATAATTTATATCTAAAAAAGAACCGTTTATTAAGTATTGTGTTTTGACAATGCGATAATAAACAATGAGTTACAAAATAAATCATCAATACAAAGACGGCGTAGACCAGGGAGGCCAAACTATGGGTAGCTGTGCATCGCAAGTGAATATTAATTAGGCTATAAAACATTGTATAAGCTATGAGATTAAAACGGCTTTAAGACGACCAAGATGTGTGTCCATAATTTACCACTTTTATTAGATATGCTCAATGAAGTTTGAGAACCACTGGCGTAGACAATGAGTCGTCACTAACGTGTCCGCGCGTGTGAATCCGCGGCCAATGCTCTGTCCACTTCCCGATTTGGCCACGAAATTAGCCACGCAACACTGACAATAGAAATATTATCACGTTGTCGACCTCTCCAGAGACATCATTTACGTGGACTAGTGATTTATTACCTGTCAGTTCGGATTCCAAAATTAAAATGTCTCGCAGCCTCACTCGGAGGTTAATGGTGCTAGTATAATCATTTAATGTGTGAATTATACAATAAAGCATGGCTTAGGAAACCATTAAATTACTTTATGTATCAGGAAGATAAAAATTATATTTTGTTTTTCAGTTACTGTAGTGTGAAAAACGATGAGAGACAGCCTCTTTACATTTCAATTATATATTTCATGAGGTCATTTCACAGAAGGGATGACAAGGGTAAGAATTTGTGTTTATATGGGTAGAGTAATGTCCACTGTAAGTGGGTCAAATATTACGATAACATTTTCCTATTTAGTACTTACTTACTACAACGAAATCTAAATAAAATGACAGAAAAATCTAATCTCTATCGTAGATCATAAATGTTAGATAATAAGTCTTCATTCCACCTTCAAAAATAATTCACACCAAAAGCATAATCAAATAAATCATTTCACCCATCGTATTCTTTTATATCGTCCTTTACTGGCGCCATCTACTCATATAAGCTCGTAATTAACCAACTCACGATTCTCAGTTAACAACTGACTTCAAAAAATAAACAATCCCTTTTTATGGTTCACATTCGTCACACGTCATCATCGTCGAAAATTTTGCTTTTATTGCGCGTGACTACGGTCATTAAACTTCGGGGTGGGGATATAGGGGGAACGAGGGAAAGGTCATTAAATTGTCAGCAACAGAGGGTTGCCAGAGCGCGTGCGCGGGAGTGGCGCAATATGGCTTTAATAAATCAGCTAATTAACTCCCAAGCCTCATATTAACAACATAAATTCCATCCTACCCGACTCACCACTCCAGATGTTATGCGGGCTGAATATGCGCATAACATATTCGATGGTTCTTCAGAGGATAAGCTCGTGAAGGTTGCCCAAATGTTAAAATTTATATCCCAGGTTAATCTTCATACTAAAAGATATTCTTCGTTAAACCCTTGTGGAGGACTAAGTTGAATTTAATTATCTTTAATATTATTCGAAGCGCTCAAGTATTAGCATTTAAAGTGCTCGATTAGTTTATAACAGTCTGAGATCTAAAAGGGAATTTCAGGATTTTTAAATGTATGTTACGCAAAATTAATAACTAGGATATTTTCATTGTAATTGTATATTTTAGCATTACTCTACTACATGTGTGTGTTCTTTTATTTCTACAACATTATTTGTAAAGGTTATAAATTGTACATTTACAGCAATGTAGTGCGTTGTATGACTGTTATTAAGCTATGAAAACCCACGCTAAATGGAGGGTGGCCCGCGGCCCGTATCACGTGACTTGGTCCATTATAGATGTCATTGGGGCATCTCTTCCTCGAGTTATCTCTTTAAAGATCAGAACAGCTGGTTTAATTACAAGTAAGGTTGGTATTTGTATTATTTGGTAATAACATATGTATTGCATCTAACCATTCAAATATAAATCCTGGCCTAGGATCGCTTCAATCATACATGATGTATACAAATAAATTGGTTAAATACTTTTACGCAAAATTACGATGGTTTTTATGTTTTTGGTCAAGCTATACAATAATATTATTATTTGGCTTAATGTCAGAGATATGAAAACAAAACAATATCGAAAAACAGAACATTCATCGACAGATCATTATTTCGTAATGATCATTTTCTATAGAAACAAAAAGCAAAGCGCGGCGTTGCGGCCATGACTGTGCGAACTTCGAACTCCCTGTAAACCATCGTCCATGAATGTTATTGTACGGATAGTCATTTATCAAAACGTCCAAAGTAGTCACGTCAGGCGACCATAGAGTATTATGACGATAGAATATACGAGTACGTAACTTGTCCAAAAGGTCTTAGTATTTGAGCCGCCAAACACGTCTATTATACGACATGCCAGTAACGAATCGTTTTGAATCCAATTCTCACGGAATCCAACATCACATATGTTACTTTTGGACCCTTAATAACTATCGACGTCATTTAAGACGTCTTTGTTTAAGCAAAATTATGAGACTGGTGCTTTGTGTTTGTATTTTAACATTATTATTTTTTTATTAAATAATTAGTGCTGATCAGAGATTTTGAACTTTGGAAGCATGCCTAAAGAATAAAATGATTCCATATTTAAATATCAAACGACAAATAAATGAACATTGTACGAGTACAGTTGCAGTGCGTGACGTATTCAATAGAGATTTTGTTTTGTTTGTGCTTAGTTTGTCTATACATTAGACTTTAATATTATAAGAACCCTCTTCCTTTAAGGTCTATGAACTCTTGTGCATTCAACTGTGCTCTTAGCTCAATAACGGGCTTAATCGCGTTCATTGAAGCATCGTTCGTCGCAACCATTTAAAGTTACACTACATTTACGATTTTATATTGCCCATCGATGTTGAAATATGGCTTTCACATCATGAAAAGTATTGAAGATTATTAAGGCAAGTATTTATGAAGCGAAAATAGATACGAACACTATGGAAAAGAGAAACTACATCAGTTTGCTAAAGAAGGTGTGATTCTGTCATATTTTGAATTGTGTGGCAGATAATCACTACTAAAGAATGTTAAGGCATTATTGTTTCTATAATGTTAAGAAGATCAGGTATATATCATACGAACGAAGTCGTCGAAGAAGTTACCAACAATTTAAAATTAATTTTTTTATCAACTAGACTGATTGTTTTATAACTGTTTGTCTGTCCTTGCATATGTTTATTGTAGATTTATTTTATTACTATAATAAAACAGTTTCACATGTTATAGTAATCGAGGTTAATTGTATTTGGCATACAAATATTACTTCGAACCTTTATTGCTATAATTTTACGAGCTGCCATTACAAGATATAAGTATTTTCGTTCGTATATTATGTGTATTTACATCAAAGGGCAATTTACGACTGTGATAATGGTTCCATATAATGTGGCACTACCTTTATGATCAATTAAATGTACATAGTAACATTATTATTTAGTAAATAATATATACCAGAATTCATTTACTAATGTGATTCGGGTTGAAGTTTTTATTCTCTAAGTGAAATCTTCAACGTTAGTTGACGAGTTTAAGTTGAAAAAATTTAAATTGTAACATAAAGTTTAGATAACTTAAATTGCTTTTATTTCGATGGGGGTAAAATTTAGGTATTTGATTTAATCGTATTTCTTTCAATATGTTGTTAGAGTAACGTGATTTTACCCAGAAAGGAAGACAAAATAACAATGATACACTAGTAGACAGGCTAAAACATTTTGATTGAACGACGAAAAGACTGACTGACTTTCTACATATACCTAAATTGCAGCCATATTTACGGCACACCGAGTTTTAGTTTCGACGCAGCTGAAATATTCAGTTCAATAATTCTAAAACGTTTTCGCATCTGTTTCATTACGATTACATGATGTATAGTGAAAGAAAATGCTATACGCCAGCGTGAAATCGATTCCGCTCAGTTACAAACGAATTACCACAAAACCGCAACACGTTTCAAACAGAAACAGCTGTTTATTTGAAGATTAGAATTATTTTCGTATGTATATTATTAATGAAACGCTCTTTGAGTTTTGTATGTGATTAATTTAACTTTGTTATTATTTACATTTTAATTAAAATGTCCGCAAACATTGCGGTGTTTATTCTATATTTGTTTAAAATAATGTACTCAAAATAAATGCATATTCATGGATATGACACTTAATTGTCACACGTTAAAATTATATTGAACAAATGGAATTATAGAAACGATAACCTGTGTTGTATTGATGTCTTAGAAAATTAAACAGTTAAGTTTAAAAACGTCTATCTACAAGTCCAACATAAGTCTTATTTTGTGGATCTGAATGTTGGGACTCCAAAGTTGCGGATGAAAGGAGATTGCATGTGGCTGAGATGCGTATGTCAAGATGGATGTGTGGTGTGACAAGAATGGATAAAGTTAAGAATGTGTACATTAGGGGAAGTTTGAAAGTAGCGCCAGTGGTGGAGAAATTGAGAAGCAAAAGGTTAGCGTGGTATGCGAGGAGACGATGGGGACATAAACCAAAAAGTGTTAAGATTGAATGGGGATGGCTACAAAGGAAGAGGAAGACCGAAGAAAGTATGGATGGATTGTGTTAAAGAGGATATGCTTAAGGAAGGAATGGATTCAGATATGACAGCTGATAAAGATGTATGGAAGAGCAGCTGATACATACTGTGCCGACCCTTCGTATGGGATAAGGGCAAGTTGATGATGATGAAGTTTAAAAAAGAGTTATTCTTGGTTGTTGTGATTGTCTATAAGCAACTACTATTATGGTCATTTCGCTGCTCGTTTGTTTTGTTTTAAAAATTACATAAAAGTTGTTTTTACTTCCAGATCAGGGCGGGGCGCGGCGTACGCGTGTTCCGAGGGCGAAGGTAACGCACCCAAGTCATGCTGCGGCCGGCCGCCGCTGAGATTATGCGTGCTCTTCCTCGGCGTAGTGGGAGCCTGCCTGGTGGCCGCGGGCGCAGTCCTCGGCGCTCTAAGGCCACATCCTAGAGCACCTCTCACATTACTGCTTCTAATGATAGGTATATTGTCTTTACTAATAGCTGCTTGATTAGCTACTATATTTCGTTTTTGAATGCCTTGATTTGCACATTTCGAAATTATCCATTGAGTTATTAAAGAAAATATTGTAAGTTAATATTTATAATTGTGTGATCGTTATTCTTATTAAAACAGTACCTATCTACATTTTAGAATAGAGAAATTGGTAATTTTAATAATCCGCTTTAGTTCACTTGTGACCAAAGAACCTTTGACTTCACGTTATGCTCACCATAACGATCGAAGTTTCAGGATCTAATGAAGGCATATTATCAAAAATGAAAGCAAATTTCTCTAACAGCGTTCACTGAGATTCACCTATAAAATTTAATGTTACCTCTAAAATTCATAAATTTTCCACAAAGGGGTCTTAATAAATTACCTTCATTAACGGTAGCGCAATCTGAAGCTCATTGGATATTCTCCGTGTATTATGCACACTGCTATGAATAGCTTAATGACAAGACTTCTTAATAACTCTACCTTAGTCCTATATAATCTTTATAGATTGCCAGAATTGATAGAAGAAGTCTACAATGTTCTATCAAAGGAGGTCGAAGACATTATATTAATGCTTGAATAATTTCTATTCTTTCAACCTTACAGTGCATTCTATGATTCCAATGATTATGTTAGGACATTTTCATTCTTTCTAAGGCAATCTCCGTTGCGTGTTTGTGACGCGCTTTGTTTAAACTCATTGTATATTCGGCGTGCATCTGCCGATAGCAAGTCTGGACGCGTTTTCATTACATCATTCACAAAGTCGCGGCCGCCCTTCGACGGGCGGAGTTTTCAATTAAACTTCGAATGAGTTTTGGAGCAGAATTAATTGGATTTTCATTAGTGTTAGGGACAAATGATGTTGTTACAGCCGAGCGATCTATTGTTTGCACGCGGGGGCAATTTGTACGCGTCAGTCACTTCGCAACTCCATGCATCGACGTCGACCAAATGGTGAACAACTTTCCACACACATTGTTCCCATACAATACATTATGTGCGCTCGTTTGGTTATAGCACACGCGATGCCTCGTTGCCCATTGTCTGTGATCATGTCCGCAAAAAATTGTAGATTAAACCGGGAACAGATGCTTCGGTTTAAGTACTCTTTAAATAACTTATGGTTAAAGGCAATATCTATTCCAAATTTCTTTAATTTAATATAGACTTATAATGTTTTTGACTATTTAATCTGTATTTATGTAAAGTAGCAGTTTTTACTGCTAGTGAATCAGATTAACAAATAAAGACATTGAGAGTAATTTTGTTGTACCAAGGGAGATATTATTACTCTGCCATTTAGCAGGAAAATAGTGATCATGCCCAAGTGCAATGAGAGATAGTACTAGGGATCTTGAATAAAAAGCTCCGTGATTCAACAAATTCCTAACAATGAAAGGTATGAAACCAAAGCTATTTATTCCCCAGGTATAGGCGTAGTGCTGGTGACGGCGGCGGGGCTGGCGTGGCGGCTGGGCGCAAGGGACGCGCCGTGTGCATTGCTGGGGCTGCGGCGCGCGTCATGTCGGCGATTCGTACCGCGCCTACCTCCCAGCTACGCGCGACCACACCACCCGTACGCGGCCATGCTCTACCCGGAGTTCCACTACAGGCCGCCCCCACCCACCTACCAAGCTTCAATGCAGGAGTATAGACTCAGGTACACAATTCACTTTCATACTCGTATTAAATCGTTGTACCCATTCAAACACTGGACTACATATCGTTTGCAATGTTTACTTAATATTGATAATTTATTTCCAGGTTACTTCTCCTCGATAGAAGTGCGCCAGCGGTGTCGCCGCCACCCACATACAGATCAAACTCAGCCAGTCTAGTCAGGTGCGTACACTACACTTTTGTAAGCAATATTGAAGGATTACGTTTTGTTGGTCTGAGACAAGCTTTGCTAATTGTGTTTTCACTTGAAACCACTTATTTACGAGATTCATTTCTCACCTAATCTTCTACCAGAAGTTAAGTTATCTTTTTATTATCTTCCCCATATCATTAAATAAACTATAATATATCGTTTGCTTCCTTACAGAGGAACCACAGGTGCGACGTGGTGCGGCTCGGAGTACAGTGGGCCCCCGTCATACAGAGCACCGCGAGTGGAGCCCCCGCCTGCCGTCACCGACGTGCCTTCCCCTATCGAACTCAAGTACTCGGAAGACGCCATTGAATCCCCTCTACCAGAACAGAAGGACCCTGACGAGCATCTCGTCACCATAGTGCACACTGAAGCCCAACCCGTCATAGTAACAGTGTCAGGATCACCGGCGCTCAACGAAACTCACATCACACACACCTCTGAAATCGATATATTAGCCCATTTATAACGAAACATCGATTAATCTATGTTTTTAAAAAAAGCTTTACGAGATTTTAAATCCGAAATATGAATTATCTATAATGCAGTCGACTAATTGAAACTGAAATGTAATAATGTAGTTCAATATTAAAATGTTGAAAAATTATGAAACAAAACACAGATGCAAAGTGAAATGTAAGTTTTAAATATACTGCATTTTTAACGGAAATTATGATTAATAACAAGTATTTTTTTTAATATTAATTCGGTTAATTTCCAATTAATATGAAAATGTTAAAAGTATTAAAAAGGCTTTGTGTTCCAAAACTGTAACTATAGATACAAATTATATTTTATAACACTTTGGGTTTTGACAGTTTTTTTAAAAAAGAAGGCCCGATTACATAAAACGTGTAAATATTCGTATTGATTTATTTTAATATTTTTGGACTCATTTATTGACTGTGTTGTTTTATTTAAGGATTACATTTGTGCCTTCGTATTATAAGTAATTATTTGTTCCAAAAGTGAAAAAAGATATCGTGTACCTTACTTGAAATAAGTATTATGTAAATAAAAGCATACAATAACGTAATCGAATCGATTTGTTTTTAGATTTTGACGAAATATTTAAACACACAAATAGGGTGTCCAATGCAAGAATTACGAACGAAAAAATTGACTTACTAACAAACCTTTATAGTCTGTTTTTGCATTTTAAGGTTATTAACTTATTTATGTGTTTAAATCTTTCAATGAAACAAATCTTGCGTTGTAAATACATTATACAAATTCGTTAAGTATTTTTATCGGGGTTCATTTTAAAAGTAATTATTTCATGTATTTAAACCAAAATCGATACCGCAATGTACAATGTGAGTTACGTGTTTTACACTCAATTAGTGCCAATGGTCTTTTTAATAATTTTGTAAATATATTCCACCAAATGAGATCCTACTAATTTGTTTAATACAAAACGTTATTGATACATCATTAGTATTCAACTCGACAAATAACCACATCAAAATAAAAATATACAATTCATAACATCAAATACAGAACGAGTATGAACATTTTTAGTCTGTGACTTAAATCAAAGACAATTTAATTTCCAACAGAGACAACTAATTTAATTCAAATACCATAGACAATTAATGCAATTTAACCACTGTTTGTTTTTATTTATATTTCGTTACTTCAGTATAGGAAGATATTTATGAATATAGTGTTTAAGTTGTTGTAAATTATCGGAATATGTTGAGTTCATTAACCTTTATAGTTAGTATGATTCATTTACAAATGAAAATAAAATTCAACAGGTATCAAGTACATGCAATGCAATTAAAATAGAAAAAAAATCCTGATACATTTTATCTTGAGACATAAACACACCAAAACTAACCTCCAAAATATGACCGCCATCTTGTGTCCGCCATTAAATTTACGGCAAACGTAACTATTATTGCTAGATTGGATTTTCGTTAGTCTTATTACAAATTTCAGTGTCCAAAGAACCGATCTCTGTTAAATTCTTTCTTATTCTCATAAACACTTTAAATTACATGAGAAATGTTAAAGAATGTACTTGTTGCGAGGCTATTCTAGGTTCTTGTAGACATACTAGAGAAGCAGTTAACTGTTTATAGCTTGATCAGAAAAATAGAAAACCTATTATGTCCATAGTTTCCTTAAAGACATTTAAGTTCGCGAAGAAGTTAGTTACAAGTTTTTTGCAACATAGGTATTTTATATTTCTGGTCAAGCGTCGATTTCGTTATAAAACCGTAGTTAGCTGTATTAAGGTAAATGATATCACGATATTCAGTGACGATCAATCTAAGTATCATGTAAAATACATACTATTATTATTAAGGAAAGTGTAACATTGTAATGTAATTATTGTACTGTACATAATATATTGTGTTATAAGTAAATAAAAAAAAACTTTTAGTGAATAAAAAGTCGTTTAATTTTATTATTCCTAAACAAATTAGACTAGGTGGACCGACGACTTGTGCACGGCAGGAAGTCTTTGGCTGCGGAAGGCGGAGGACCGTGTTATGTGGAAGGCATTAAGTAAGCATATGTCCAGCTGTGGGGAAAAGTTCATGATAAAACACAGTAGACGTCTTTAACCTAATCTCAAATACTTATAGTTTAATAATGTTATAAAATAAACAATTTATTGCGTAGAATAAATGAATGAGAAACGAAGAGATTACGTGTTTTATTTGAGGCTGGTTGGAAAGCGAGCGGCGCGAATAAATCGCTTTTGAATGCAATCGACAAGAGATGCCGAGAACGAGATGATTTATTGGCTCGACGAGCTCGTCGACTAATGGCAGCTGAGTAAGCACTTGTCTGGCAAATATTTATTTTATTTTTAATGTTCCCAGCCAGCCTCTATCCCCGTAATCCGAGTTCCGAATAATTTTATTTGGAGCTTACAACGTTTACCTTATTCAAAAATAGATAGATATAATTGATGTATTTATATTTCTTTATATAAATACTTATGTAAAAGATGAAGTCAAAATAAATCAATTTTTAAACATAGATTTAGGTAGTTGAGGTTATTTTTAATTTCTCTCATGTTGTTTAATCAGTAGCATACGCTTTCAGATTATATTTTTCACAGAAAACACAAAAATCTGCCCATTAGCCCAAGATAAAAATATTTTTTTAGATGGATGAACACTTATCTTCTGTATATTGAATTTCATATCACAAAATAGTAACACACACATTTTAACATTTTTATTCAGCCAGAATGTTTTTGTACAAGGAAACTGTCGACTGCGACAATAAGAGATTTGATGATATAAACGTATTTGAGGTTAACCAAACATAAAAGTAATATAAAATAGAACCCTTAAAACTCTATATCAATCTCAATTTGTGAGTGAACTTTCATCTAGCGCTCAGTCTCAGCAATTTGAAAATTAGTCAAAGCAATATTTTGATAGAGCAATTAACGTAATTAGAAACTTCTAAAGTACTTCGTTGGTATTAACTAATGCATTAGTCTCGAATCTAAACGGTATAAAAGTTTTCGGCTGATTTCGCTCTTGATTTATTTTTCATAAAACGGCGCCAGTTATTTCAGACGCTGAATATTTCTGGAACGTGTTTTTTCATTACATTACCTACTCTTAATAAAACTCATTGCTTGCTATTTCTACGTGAATACAAAGTTTGATGGACGGCGAAGAATTTTTTGATTTACTCTATTTAGAGTTTAAATTAATTTCGTTTTGAAAATTTTTTAATGTAATTAATTAAAATAATTCAATTACTTTTTTACAAGCTGAACGTAAATACGGCGAACGTAAATGTAGTCATTTTTTTATTCGTCTTCTGTGATGATCATCTATACATATAATAAAATTGTAGTGTCTGTTTGTAACATCAAAAGAAAAATTCCAGATATAGGTAAGATGATGTATTTGCGTTGTTCATAACGAAAATCGCATTTTAAAAAAATGTCATAAATAAAATTTTCAATATGTAAAATTAAATTAATTTATTTTCTATCTAATCTAATCTCTGTT